ATGGCAGTGGTTCTCAACCTTCTGGCCCTTTAAATATAGTTCCTCATGTTGTGACCCCAACCATAAAATTAGTTTCATTGCTCCTTCATAACTGTCATGTTGCTACTGTTATGAATCGTAATGTAAATATCTGATATGCAGGATGGTCTTAGGCAACCCCTGTGAAAGGGTCGTTTGACTGCCAAAGGGGTCATGACCCACAGGTTGAGAATCACTGCTCTAGAGTCTTTCTAGGTAATGGTACCCAGTGAATGGCAAACATAATCATTTTTAATTTTCTCTGTAAAGTTATGATTGACACAATGCATACACATAAAAATTTCCAGTAATCTTAAAGTGTGACTATCATAAACATCATATCAAAACTGCTGTTTACTGTGGTCTATTTATAACCCTTATATAGTGACATGATGTATTTTTTGTTTGGAATAAGAATGTCCCTAACAGTGAGAGCCTTGGCTTGTTCTTACACTGAAAACTTTCACAGTGCCTGTGAGAGAAATTTTCAAATACCATATAATTAAAATCAGTTTTACTCACAGCAGGAGTTGCAGGTAAAGCGTTTCATCACAGATGTTTGGACATAATCTATCTCTCAATCTGTTAGCTTAAACTTGAAAAATAAGGAATAAATGGATTGATTCAGATAAATAGAGTCACTCTTAAAGGGAAAGAAAAAAAACCTTAGGGGGGAAAGTAGATTGATAGGAAAATAAAGGAGGAACACAGATGTTATTTCAAGATGTATAATTTGAAAGGCTGACATACCTTGCTAAGAAAACTTCATAACTAAAAGTCAAAATGATGTTATAGATGTATTTATATTATTAAATATTCCTTTCTGGAACTTTCAGGGTTGCATTACATATGCAACTTTTCTGGAGTGTTTAGACAGCAGGCCCTCGATAAATGTTGAATGAAATACTTCTTGACAGAAAGAGGGGCTGAGGAACTGAATTTACAATATCAACTACCCATTGAAGCAACTGAGATACCCAGATTGAAATAAAACAGAACTGAAATGTCAAAGTAAACAAATAAGGAAGTATGATATACTTTTTATTTTTTTTTTCTTTTTTTTTTTTTAAATATATTCTATTGATTTTTTTACAGAGAGGAAGGGAGAGAGATAGAGAGTTAGAAACATCGATGAGAGAGAGACATCGACCAGCTGCCTCCTGCACACATCCTACTGGGGATGTGCCCGCAACCAAGGTACATGCCCTTGACCGGAATCGAACCTGGGACCCTTCCATCCGCAGGCCGACGCTCTATCCACTGAGCCAAACCGGTTTCGGCTGATATACTTTTTAAAGCATTTTAGGAACTCAGCTATTTAATTTCTTTTTCTACAGCTTCTTAAAGAGAAATATATTTTTAAATATTATTTATTAAGGGACTAAACCAGCCGTGGGCAAACTACAGCCCACAGGCCGGATCCGGCCCGTTTGAAATGAATAAAACTAAAACAAAAAAAAGACTGTACCATTTATGTGATGATGTTTACTTTGAATTTATATTAGTTCACACAAACACTCCATCCATGCTTTTGTTCCAGCCCTCTGGTCCAGTTTAAGAACCCATTGTGGCCCTCGAGTCAAAAAGTTTGCCCACCCCTGGACTAAACTATACATAGAAGGGATAAATAGAACTTGCTGAGAATTATGCCACATTTTTATTTTACTTAAACACTCCTTAGCAGTGGGAAGAAAGAAGGAAAGAAGGAAGGAGAAAGGGAGGGAGAGAGAAAGAGAGGAAGAATCAAAGAAGCCCAGATATCCAGTGACATTCCTCAGAACCCTTGTGGTGGTGCGTGGCATACACAGTAAGCTGTCTACTTTATATCTAGCTTTTTTCTTCCTTACTAAAGAACTACCAATTTTCTTTTGGCAGAAGTGTGCTCATGTCCAGTGAGTTAACCCATGAACACCTTTGACTTGTTTTGCCAATATTGTTCTAAGGTTGGGCAGCAGCCATTGAAAGATAAAAACCAGTCTTATGAGTTTTTCTTAATTTTAATGTATTGATTTTAGAGAGAGGAAGGGAGAGGGAGAAAGAGAGAGAGGCAGAGAGATAGAAACATTGATCAGCTGCTTCGTGCACGCCCCCTACCTGGGATCAAGCACACAACTTGGGCATGAGCTCTAACTGGGAATCGAACCAGCAACCTTGTGGGTGCATGGGATAACACCCAACTAACTGAGCCCAAAACAGCCAGGGCAGTTTTTTGAGTTTTTGATAAATATTTGTTTCTTTGGTTAAAAGACTGAGGTTCCTGAAAGAGAGTGATTAATATATTTTTTTTAACCTCAATCATCTTTTGTCCTGTATGAGTCACTGCCACATGAAGACATGATGCCTGGGACTGTGGTAGCCATTTTGCAACTGGAGGCAATATTGAAAACTAGAGGCCCAGTGCACGAAATTGTGCACAGAGAGGGGGGGGGCGTTGACCCTCAGCCAAGCCTACACCCTCTAGCAATCCGGGACCGCTGTCTCCTAACCGTTAGCCTGCCTGCCTGCTTGCCTGATCACCCCTAACTGCTCACCTGCCTGCCTGATTGCCCCTAATTGCTCACCTGCCTGCCTGATCGCCCCTAACTGCTCACCTGCCTGCCTGATCGCCCCTAACTGCTCGCCTGCATGCCCGATTGCCCTTAACCACCTCTGCCTCAGCCCCTGC